CTTGGTATCAGCTCCTCATTTCTCCCCCTCCCCTCCCTCTCTCACAAACCCTTGATAATTTAAATTATTTTTTTTTTTCATGTCTTACACTGACCAATGTCTCCCTTCACCCACTTTCCATTGTCTGTCCCCCTGGGAGGGGGTTATATGTAGATCATTGTGATCAGTTCCTCCTTTCTCCCCCACCTTCTCCTTACCCTCCTGGTATCTCTGAGGAGTTTATCTGTCTTGGATTCCCTGTGTTTCCAGCTCTTATCTGCACCAGTGTACATGCTCTCATCTAGCTGGATTTGAAAGGTAGAATTGGGGTCATGATAGTGGGGGTGGGGGACATTAAAGAGTTAGACGAAAGTTGTATGTTTCATTGGGGCTATACTGCACCCTGACCGGCTTGTCTCTCCCTTGCGACCCTTCTGTAAGGGGATGTCCGCTTTAGACTGATCCTTTTCGTAGCCAGGAATCAGAAGCACAATGAAAATGGTCTCTTCATGCCATAGGATTTAGCATTGCATTTCCTGGACAGTCTGTGCAGACTCCCTTCAGGGTGGAAGTCTCAGGGAAATGTGTGGAGAGACAGACCTTTACCTTCTTTCCTTTTCCGCTGAGGCTCTTGGCTACCTAACGGCTAATTCTAAAATGCCAACCCTCACTACCACCTTGTGGGGTGGAGTAGTGGTTCTTGTGGCCATCGCATTTCCCTCTTTTCAGGATAGTACTGTCGACGTTTGTCGTGACGGGGCTTTGCGTTCCCTACCATCAGGATCGTTTGTACAAGAGGTGTGAGGAAAGCACTACAGGGATTTCGGTGTTGTAGAACTCTCCATATTGACGATGCAAATTGTCTAAAAATCTGCATATTGACGATGGTCAACAGCGTGGACCATAACAAATTGTGAATGCCGTAGAAAGGGATGGGAGTGCCAGAACACTTCATTGCGCTTCTGCGGGGCCTGTAAACAGACCAAGAGGCAATCGTTTGATGAGAAGAGGGCATCCCTCACGGTTTACCATCAGGAAAGGTGTCCCTCAAGGTGGTCTCCTTTCACTTTATTTAACTGTGTGCTAGAGCCAGCGATCCCGCAACTGGACGATGTGAGACCGTGAAGAGGACTGGAACCACTTACTGGGGAAGATCGACGGCTACCGGATTTAGTATGGGTTACACTTTAGCATGGGAGAAAGACAGGGCTTTCTAGTCTTGTAAAGAGTTGTAGCTGGAAACGCACAGGGCCGGTTCTACCCTGCCCTATCGGGTCATTGCGAGTTGGCATCGACTGCATGGCAGTGAGAGAGACAGCATCACATGAAGCAAACAAAGCTCCTCAAACCGGCATCCATATGCAGCATCATGATAAACAGAGAAAACACTAGCGTTGTCAAAGATGTTCATTTTTCTTGGATCTGCGATCAGTGCTCATGGAAGCAGTAACCAGGAAATCAAATGGTATAATGTATTTGGGCAAATCTGCTCCACAGGCCCTTCAAATAAAGTGTTAAATATTATGAAAATAACATATTATTTTATTACGCATTTCTATTTTTTAAAAATTCAATGGTGTGATCATATTCAAGTGAGGTGTGTGTACAGTCATCTCCACGATCAATTTCTGGGTGCTTTATTCTTTCTTGTACTCATTATTACCAGCTCCCCAGCTCCTTGCACCCTCCTCTGCCACAACCCTAAGAAACTATGAATTCGGCTGCTCTCTATAGATTACCTGTGGTGGATTGCATATAAAGAAAAACATAAACAAAACAAAACACAACCCAACAACAATAAAATACAATAGAGAAAACCCTCACGCGAACTGTAAGCAGAAAATATTAAAAACCAGAACAAATTTAAAACGGGTCCAACAGGGAGCGCAAATGATAAGCTATTAGTTTGACCTGCCTGCATCAGCCATGATCTACTTTCCCGTGCACGCTGAGAGCAAGGCTCAGCACATCCCTACCTATTAGTCAGAGCGTGCTCACTGGAACCTGTAAGTGGATTTTGAGCTTTCCTCGAAACCAGTTGCTCATAAGATGTTACCTTGAGGCCAGAGCTGTGTCTGACCCAAACACAGTATTTTCAGTTGCCTCCCATTCGTGGGAAAACTGGGCCATGAATAAGGAAGACCAAAGAAAGTTTGATGCATTTGAAGTACGGTGTTGGTCTGTACTGTGGACTGCCAGGAGAACAAACAAGTCCGTCCTGGGAGAAGAACAGCTAGGGTGCTCCTCAGAAGCAAGGCTAGCAAGACTTTGCCTTGCTTACTTTGGGTAGGTTCTCAGGGACCGGTCTCTGGAGAAAGACATCATGCTTAGTCAAGTAGAGGGTCAGAGAAAAAGAGCAAGACTCTCAAGGACGTGAATTGTCGCAGTGGCTGCAACAATGGGCTGAAGCCCAACAGCAATGGGCGGGCTGGTGCAGACAAGGCAGTGCATCCTTCTGTTGGACACAGCGTCGATGCCAGACAGAAACACCACTCAATGGCACCGGGCAGCAACAATCACTCTAGGAAGGGTGGTATTGCCACAAAATAGAAATTCGTATTGAACAAACATTTCAAAGTGGGACGCTGTTCGTTCTTGACATATCCTCTATCTCAGTTTTTCCACTTCCGAAGGAGGTGTCTCCTCTCTCTAGCCCTTCTCTGAAGCATTCTGCACTTTGGAGTTTACCTCACACCAGAACGGCCATCCTGCCGTCCTCAAGGGACTGCAATTGTGTTCCCTTCAGCTGTCGCTTGGGCTTTGTAAACAAAAAGAAGGCTGACGGGGCAAGGCCAGGGCTGTAGGGCAAATGGGGTGAGGGTCCCAATGAAATGTTGCCAGCATAGCCCTTGCTGGCCCGGCAGAGTGAGCAGGCGCGTGGAGGTGATAGAAAAAAATCCTCACTGCTGTTTGCCTCGCCTTGACCTCTCCTCTGTGGTTCTTGTTTTTCTGGAAACATCTTCAGAATTTGCTCCGGTGATTCCTCTCTGTCCTTTGAGGAAAATCCATCTGGCTGGTGATCGTCGCTGTCAGGTGCACACTGATCCCGGGCCAGACAGAACGAAGCCCTGCCCAGTCCTGCGCGTCCTCACTTGCTGGTGTGTTTGAGCTCATTGTTGCAGCCCTGTGTCAGCTGTTTCCTTGAAGAAGAGGAAGCCCCTCGACAAGAGGGACCGACACCGTGGTTGCAACAACGAACTCAAACGTAGCAGCAGTTGAGGATGGCGCAGAACCGGGCAGCGTTTTGCTCTGTTGTACACAGCGATGCTATGAGTCCGAACTGATTTGACAGTAGACAACAACAACAACAACAACTTGTTGAGGGTCTTCTTTTTCACTGCCCCTCACTTTACCAAGCATGATGTCCTTTTCCAGGGTCTGGTCTTTCCTGATAATGTGCCCAAAGTACATCAAGGGTTCATGAGGGAGGGTGGGGGAGGGAGGGGGAAAATGAGGAGCGGATACCAAGGGCTCAAGCAGAAAGCAAATGTTTTGAGAATGATGATGGCAACAAATGTACAAATGTGCTTGACACAATGGATGGATGTGTGGATTGTGAGAAGAGTTGTACGAGCCCCCAATAAAATAATTTAAAAAAAGAAAAGAAAATGACGATCACAACACATGTACAAGTTTGCTTGCCATAATTGATTTGAGTTATTATGAGATCTGTAAGAGCCCCCAATACAATTATTTTTTTTAAAAAGAAGTCTTATTATCATGGATTCTAAGGAACATTCTGGTTATACATCTTCCAAGATGGATTTACTTGTTCTTCTAGCAGTCCATGGTACTTTCAATATTCTTTGTCAGCTCCACAATTCAAGCGCATCAATTTGTCTTTGGTCTCTATTCAATGTCCAACTTTCACATGCATGTGAGGCCATCGAAAACACCACGGCTTGGGTCAGGCTCCCGGGTCATTCTTTAAAGTGACATCCTCACACTTCCGTCCGTAAGGCCTCTGCAGCAGGTTTTTATGACATTTGATGCCCTAACTACTGCATTGATTGTGGATCCAAGCAAAATGAAACCGTTGACAACTTCAGTCTTTTCTCCATTGGTGACGAGTCTGGCTTTCTTTGCAGTGAGTCGATCCACGCTGAAGGCTACGGTCCTCGATCGTCATCAGCAACTACTTCAAGTCCTCCTCACTGTCAGCACAGCAAGCTGTGTCCTGTGCTTATTGAAGGTTGTTAATCAGCTCTCCTTCAATCCTGATGCTGTGCTCTTCATATAGTTCACCTGCTCTGATTATCTGCTCAGCATACAGATGGAATATAAGTATGGGTGGGGGTGGGGGTGGGGGTGCAGAGGTTAAAACCCTGATATATACTTTTCCTGATGTTAAGCCATTCAGTATTCCCTTGTTCTGTTCCAATGTCTGGGATTCCCCTTTCCCCTTTAAAGAAATCAAATGTACCCCCTTACAATCTCCAAAGGCAGACTCCAGAACCTTCTAAGCTTACCTTTCTGCTTTGAATTTTATTGGCCCAACCGACCACCCCAGGAGCCATTGTTTAGCCTGGACTTTTTGGGGGAAGGCACTGTAATGTGACTAAGACAACTAACTGTCTTACTGAGAGAACTTGTCTGTAGCCATCAACTGGCCAGAGAGAGCTGTTCGTACACATTTTGCTTGGAATAAGCCCCCGCATGTATGAACTGGATTCCCAGCGGGGGTACTTTTAGACTCGCCCTTGTATGTTGGTGCTGGAAAGACTTCTTACAGACGGTGCGATTTGAGCTGGATTTGAAGGAGGAAGAGGGTGGACTTAGGGACCAGTAAGGAGTCGCCCTTGATTGGGACATCAAGGTGTGGGAAGTACGGTTGTCGCCAAGGCTCAGACAGTCAACGGAGCAGAGTAAGTCCTGCGTAACGCGAGCGACGCGGTCTGAGCAGCGCTGCTCCGGGTCGTGGGTCCGGCGCCTGCTTCTCTTGTTGGTCTTGCTTTGCACAGCTGCACGGAAGGATTGTTTACCATCCCTCTGTCCATGTTGTCTTCTGGGGACCCCGACAGGAAACTTACGATCATCATTTGGAGGTCCCAGCCACTTGGGAGCAACTAAACCACTATCGGAATGTGGCCGAAAATGCTCAGAGCGAACTGGCAGCGACTTCGGTCAAGTTCGAATGTGCTCAGACGGAGGTACGTTTGTGGCCCCTCTTCACTCAGAAAGGAGCCGTTGCAGGGAGGGGGCTTCTTGCCGAGTGGAGCCCAGCTCAGCTTAGAGGTGGTTAGAAATCAGAGTGGAGCCAAAATAAAAAACCCAGCTGGGAGGGAGGGGAAAAATGAGGACCTAATGTCGGGGGTTTAAATGGAGAGAAAATGTTTTGAGAATGATGAGGGCAATGAATGTACAAATGCGCTTTACACAATTGATGTGTGTATGGATTGGGATAACAGTTGTATGAGCCCCTAATAAAATGTTAAAAAAAAAAAAAAGAAAAAGCAATAAATGCATTTTGACTTTTAAAAATTAAAAAAACAAACAAACAAACAAACAAAAAACCCAGCTCACCCCCATCTAGTCCATTCTGATTCATGGCGACCCTACAGGACAGAGCAGAACTGCCCCTGTGGGTTTCCGAGGCTATAACTCTTCATGGGCCAGAAAGCCTCATCTTTCTCCCTTGGAGGGGTGGGTGTGTTTGAACTGCCGCCCTTCTGGTTAATAGCCCAGTGAGTAACCCACTGCACCACCAGGTCCCCTAACAGAGCTTTTAGCAAAGTTTCTAGTCTGCTCTTATGATGCACATCCCCCTTCCCGGAAGGAGCCCTGGTGGTGACGTGCGTTGGAATCGGGCTGCTCCCACAGGACAGCGTTTGGAGACCACCCCACTCCAGGCGAGGAAGGCGAGGCGTTCGGCTCCGGGAAGTCCCAGCCTCAGACGCCCACGGGGGAGGTTGACCCCATCTGATCGGGTCCCGTGTGTTGGGATCGGCTGGATGGCAGCGAAAGAGCAAGGCCCCTTCGTTGTGGTAAATCCCTGGAAAGTGACGCATTTGCCCTGCTGGGAAGGGCCCAGCGCAGGGTTAATGCCATTGCCTGGTCAGAGGCCCTCCATGGCCTTGACGTATCTAGGGGGCCCCTGAGGACCTGGGGTGGAAATGGCGTGGGCTTTGGAGAACATCTTCCTGGAAGATGGGCTCTTTTGAGGTAATTCTGAGTTGCTTTCCTGTGGTAGGAGCTCTGCCGGCTAACCTCAGGTCAGCAGTTTGAAACCAGCAGCTGCGAATCGGGAGACAGATGAGACGTTCTACTCGCATCCAGAGTTAGGGTCGCCATGAGTCAGGCTGGATTGGTTGGCTGCGAGGTTTTATTCTTTTGGTCTGGTTTCTTGTGGTTGGGCTATCCTCTGGAAATCAAGGGCAGATAAGGTCCAGAGCGCAGTATCAGAGAGGGTCCATGGGACTGGTCCTGTTCATAGCTTCAGGGCTCTGTGCAAGCCCAGGCTGGGCCATGAGGTAGCCAATCGTCTGCCAGAATCCAACTGGGTGCTGAGCGGGAAGGCATGTGTGCACGCTCATCGCTCTTAAGAATGATGTTGTGGTGGCTAGGCGCCATCAAGTCAGCTCTGACCCACAGGGACCCTGTGCACCCCAGAATGAACCACGGCACCGTCCTGTGCCGGCCCACCCCTGCCGTTGTTCCTATGCCTGAACCCCTGTGGGACCCAGGCTGCCCACCCATTTCCTTGAGAGCCTTCTTCTTTTTTGACCCCCTTCCATTTTACCAAGCAGGGCGACATTCTCCAGGGACTGGTTTCTCCTGACAGTATGTGCAGAGTGTGTACCACGAAGACCTGCCACCCTTGCCCCGGAGAGCACGCTGGCTGTGCTGCTTCTGGGACAGATTTGTTGAAAGTCCACGGTCCTTAGTAGTCATCAAGTTTTCCCAGAAAGCAGACCTCACACCTTACCTTCAATCCCACACATGCCGTGGTCCAGTGTTTGGATGCCACAAAGTTCATAAAAGTTGAAATGTTTCTTTTGTGTCCATCCTCTAAGGAGATTCCTTTGTTCTCGTATTTTCCCCCCCAGAAACGTGAATCTTAATTTTCTTTTTCAGTCACCATTAAGGCCCAGAAAGTCAGTGGAAATGGGAATATGCTCAAAATTCACTACCTTCTTGGGTGGGGGGATGGAGGGGGAAAAAAAAGAAAAAAAGTGGAGGTGATATTAAAGGGCTCAAGGACAAGATAATGTTTAGAAATTGTTGATGCCAATAATTGTACAAGTCCGCTTGAGATAACGGGTGAATGGTTTGTTATAACATATGTAAGAGCCCCCAATAAAATGATTTATTAAAAAAAATTCACTGCCTTCTCGTCAATTCTGACTCATTGAGACCCACAGGGCAGAATAGAACTGCCCCTTTGGGTTTCTGAGACTGTAAATTTTTACAGGAGCCAAAAACCTCACTTTTGTCTCATGGAGTCACTGGTAGGTTCAAACGGCTTCCCTTGTGGTTACCAGCCTAACTCACAACCTTCCACAGCACCAGGGCTCTGGATATACTGAACAGACTGCTTTTCTTTTCTTTATTTTGGTTAAAACATTATTTTATTGGGAGCTTTTACAGCTATTACAATCCATACATCAATTGTATCAAGCATATTTGTACATATGCTGCCGGCATTATTTTCTACACTTTTACTTTCTATTTGAGCCCTTGGTATCAGCTCCTCTTTTTTCTCCTCCCTTGCCTCCTCTCACCCTCATGACCCCTTGTAAATTATAAATTATTATTCTTTTCATATCTTACGCCGACTGCTGTCTCCCTTCTCCCACTGTTTCTGTTGTTTGTCCCTGGGGGGGGGGGGGCGGGGTGTGTGTGTGTGTGTGTGTGTGTGTGGCTATGTCTCATCATTGCGATCTCATCCCTCTTTCTCCCCTCCTGTCCTTACCTTCCTTCCCCCTATCCTCCTGGTATCGCTATTCTCATTCCTGTCCCTAGATTCCATGTGTCTTGAGCGCTTATCTCTCATCTGTACCTGCCTACATGCCCTGGTCTAGCCCGCAGTGAAAGGCAGGGCTGGGTCATGAAGGGAAGCAGTTGTGACTGTGTACGTCACAAAGAGCGTGGCTTCTAAGAGTCTTGTTCTGTTGTTCTTCAGCAGCAGCGACAGCCATCTGGATTTAGGAAATTTAGGCAACGTTGCAAAACATTTTATGGCTTTTAGTAAAACGCACCACATGTGCTTCTTGGGTCTGATTAAATGGACACAGTTGAGCCATTGCTCAACTGGTTTTGAAAAAGACAGACGATGAAGTCCATTATCTGGTGTAATTTCCCAATTGTAATTCAACTCGGAAGGAAAAGAAAACCGTTGGGTGAAGTCCCGAATCAAAGACAGAAGTCTATCATGTTGCCGGAGCGGTTGCTTACAGGTGTTTCCAGCATGTCTGAGGAAATTCCTTTCTTCCGTTTGCTTCTTTTCTGTGCTAGCTCCGAGGCCTCCGGTCCAAGATGCTCTCAAAAGAAGCTTCCTGTCAGGAGTTGAAAGTTGAAATGGAGAGCTATAAAGAAGACAATGCTCGGAAATCATCTCTCCTCTCGTCTCTGAGAGACAGGGTGCGGGAAGTAGAAGAAGAATTGGCAGCGCTTTCTTCATCTAAAATTAGAACCGACATCGCAGCTCACGCGGCCATCAGGGAGAGCCAGGGGCTAAAGAAGAAAGTTATAGCATTGGAAGAAAACTTACAGTAAGGGCATTTCAATCTCTCGCTCAGTTTATTGAATGTTCAAATACCAACTTCTGATAGCGGGCTACCCCTTCGAATGGCTTTGCATCATTTGGTTCTGAAATGTAATTTGAAGAAATGGTTGATCCCACTCAAAGGTCTTGAAAAATTTCCCCAATCCCATTTTGAAGTGTTCATTAAAAGGCACAATAAATAGAGACTTGTCTAAGAGACTTGCTTATGCCTTAATGATCCGGGCTGCAAATGTTTCTGTCCACACTTTGAGAGATTTCCTCCAGGCTCAGGGCTAACTGGAGGCAGTGGGGTCACAGGGAAGCACTTGTTCAGAAGTGAGCTGTAAAATGCCCCAGTGCTCAGGCCACCCTGAACAAGTTTCCCCAGGCTTTAATTGCCAATTTATGTAGAGAACACATGAGACAGTGCTTTTCCATACTTAGTTGATGTGCTAAAATATAAGCTCCTGGGGCTCTCCTGTGAGCACTTTTCTACATTTCGTTTCGTGACAACTCCAGCCTGCCAGTGGATCAAACCAACAATCCTGTTATCTTTTTTGGCTTCTCTTCTTATCTCATGCCCCATCTCTTATTCTTTAGCAAAAACCCACCATATCTCTACCTTCAAAATAAATCTGGATGTCAATGATTTTCCATGGCCACCAACCATGGTCCAAGCCATGGTCATCTCTGACCTGGATTCTCACCATAGCCTCTTAGGCATTTGTGTTTTTCCTGCTCTGCCTGGGACTTCCTGTAACCAGGGTGGCCATGCTTGTGTCGGTTAGATCCAGTCTGCCTTCAGCTCTCCAGTAACTTCTCCTTGCACCACGGTCAAGCTGTTCCTTCTGATCTAGAAGGGTCCTGCTAGCCGGGGTTTGCGACTGCCTTCCCCCTCCTTCTCCTCCCAGGCGGCTGGCTTCTTTCCTCTCCCTGGAATCTTCCAGCGGTCATGCCACCTCAAAACTTGGCCTAGAACGTGCTTCTCCCAGACAGGGCTGCCCAGCCCCACGGATTCCTTTAGGGCTTCACTCAAAGTCACTTTCTCCAGGAGGTCTTCCAAGGCCGCTGCCTCTATGATTTCCCCTCAAATATTTCATATCATCCTCTCCCTTTCTACTTTATTATATATTAAAATCTCCAGCCCTTTTCCAACATGTTGCATATTTTGCACTTGAGGAGTCTTCAAAAAGTTTATGGGAAAAATTACATTATTTTTTTCATTCCATTTCCCACAGACTTTTGGAAGCTCTCTCATCGATGAATGTCTTTTTATGATTTTCTGTTTCTCCAGTCGCCTCCGGAAGGCAGGGATTTGTGGGATACTCATTACTCTGTGTCTCCTCACGGAGAGCTGAAGTTGGGAACTTTGAGGAATGCTGTCTTGGGTGGTGGTCGCCCTGACGTATTTGTGTTTGCTTGGTAGAAAGAGCTGGAGGGAAACCGAGGCGGAGAAGAATGAAGGCCAGAGGAACCGCAGGCAGCAGCAGGAGTTTCTCGCTCAGCTTCGTGACTGCTTGGATCCGGAGAAGAAGAGCGAGGAAGCGTCAGAGGAAGAGTTGATGTTAAAGGTGTTTATGTGCAGACTAATAAGGCTGTCAATACAGTGGGCAGTTTGACATGAAAGAAGGTGCTATGGCCCAGTTTGAGGGTGTTAGTGGAAAACAGGAGTCCAAGTTTAGCATCCACTAGCTGTGCAACCTGGGACCAAACACATCACCTCTCCGAGCCTCCATCCATAACACCTTTCCGTAGCTATTCTGTAAAAGGGATTCGTTATTGCCTAAGATGTACTAGGAGCTTTGGAGACGTAGTGTTTATGCATTGGGCTGTGTTCCTCATGGTTGGCAGTTTAAAACCACCAGCAGCTCCATGGGAGAAAGACCGAGTTTTCTTTTCTTTTTTTAAAACAGTTTTATTGGCACTTCATCCACATATCATACAATTAAATCATTCAGTCACATCAAGAGTTGTACAGTCATTGTCACCATCAATTCCAGAACATTTTCTTATTTTTTTGTACTCATTGTTATTCATGTAATTATTAATTTTTAAATTGTGGCAAAAATGTGCACAACAAAACATTCTCCATTTCAACAACTTCTGCATGTATAATTTAAGACTGGGCTTTCTATACCTATAACGAGTTACAGTCTTGGGTTCCTATGAGTCAGCATTGACTCGATGGTAGCAAGTTTTGTTTTAAGATGTACTTAGGTGGCACAAATTGTTAATCTCTTTACAGCTAACTGGAAGGTTGACAGTTCAAACCCACCCACAGGTGCTGAGGAAGAAAGCCCTGGAGACCCGTTTCTCAAAAGTCACAGCTTTGAGAAATCTAGGGAGTGTCGTTTCTACACCACAACACTCTGGGTTGCCATGACTGGCATTGACTTGATAACAACTAGTTTAATGGCAAATCATAGTCAGAATAAAAAAACACACGAGTTTTTCCTTTTAATAATATACTTTAGGGAGTCCCCCCTCCCCTTTTAGCTATTGACAGAAACACCAAAAAACAAACATATAAAGCACCCACAAACAAACAGACCTAACAACCAAAACACAAAACAGGTGTGTGCATTGTAAGATGAGGGATTGAGTTCACCTGTCAAATAAGAAGTAATGCTTAGGTACTTTAAATATTTCTGCATTAAAGGAAAATAGCAAGCAGCCTCACTAAATGGCCAATGATCAGTAAACGGACACAGACAGCCTAACGGAACCACTGCTGTTGGGTCCATTCTGGCTCATAGTGACCCTCTGGGACAGAGCAGAACTCCTCCACAGGGGTTCCAAGGCTGGAAATCTCTATGGAAACAGAGCCCCATCTCTCTTCCGTGGAGCAGCTGGACTGTGGACTGCTGGCGCCTTTTGGTTGGCAGGCCAAGGCTGAACCCTCGGCACCACCCCCACTGCCATCAAGCAAACATATGAGGAGTGTTGGAGACAGTCAATCCTGAGAGGAGCAGACGGCCTCATCGTGCTGCCGTGGGGTGGCTGATGACCTTGGATTGCCGACCTTGCATCTAGCAGTCCCGGGTTCCTCAATCGCCTGTAAGATGAACCTGAATTGTGTCAACGACACGGTTCACTGGACCCATCGTGATTCACAAGGGCCCCTGAGAGCACTTGGTTGCGCTTTTACAGACGAGCATTTTGTGTCTTTGGCTCCTGATGGAATTCCGTGCAGCCACTCTAACAGCCGTCTCTCATCTGTGACCTAGGAAGCACCCTGTATTAGTCGGGGTACTTTAGAGAAACAAATCCACAGAAACTCATGTATAAGAGAGAGTTTTATATAAAGGTTAAGTGCGCATCAAGAAAACATCCCAACTCAGTGCTGCCCAAGCCCACAAGTCCAACATTA